ACAAATTACTGAATTGTCTAAAAGACGTTAAAAACTGGCTACAGTTGAACCTCGTCGTCGTCGTCGTCTTCCTCCGCTTATCCGGGTCCGGGTCGCGGGGGCAGCATCCCAATTAGGGAGCTCCAGGCCGTCCTCTCCCCGGCCACCTCCACCAGCTCCTCCGGCAGGACCCCAAGGCGTTCCCGGACCAGATTGGAGATGTAACCTCTCCAACGTGTCCTGGGTCGACCCGGGGGCCTTCTGCCGGCAGGACATGCCCGAAACACCTCCCCGGGGAGGCGTCCAGGAGGCATCCTGACCAGATGCCCAAACCACCTCAACTGGCTCCTTTCGATCCGGAGGAGCAGCGGTTCTACTCCGAGTCCCTCCCGAATGTCCGAGCTCCTCACCCTATCTCTAAGGCTGAGCCCGGCCACCCTACGGAGGAAACTCATTTCGGCCGCTTGTATCCGCGATCTCGTTCTTTCGGTCATTACCCAAAGCTCATGACCATAGGTGAGGATTGGGACGTAGATCGACCGGTAAATCGAGAGCCTGGCTTTCTGGCTCAGCTCCGTCTTCCCCACGACAGATCGGCTCAGCGTCCGCATCACTGCAGACGCTGAACCAATCCGCCTGTCGATCTCCCGATCCCTCCTACCCTCACTCGTGAACAAGACCCCGAGATACTTAAACTCCTCCACTTGAGGTAGGACCTCTCCCCCGACCCGGAGGTGGCAAGCCACCCTTTTCCGGTCGAGAACCATGGTCTCAGATTTGGAGGTGCTGATCCTCATCCCAGCCGCTTCACATTCAGCCGCGAACCTACCCAGCAAGAGCTGAAGGTCAGAGCTGGATGAAGCTAGGAGGACCACATCATCCGCAAAAAGCAGAGACGAGATTCTCCTGCCACCAAACTCGACACACTCCACACCACGGCTGCGTCTAGAAATTCTGTCCATAAAAGTGATGAACAGAACCGGTGACAAAGGGCAGCCCTGGCGGAGTCCAACCCTCACTGGGAACAGGTCCGACTTACTACCGGCTATGCGGACCAAACTCACGCTCCTCTGGTAAAGGGACTGAATGGCCCTTAACAGAAAGCCACCCACCCCATACTCCTGGAGCGTCCCCCACAGGGTGCCCCTTCTCACTTTAAATGACAAAAAAGTAGAAATTGTCATTTTCGGGGACCCTGGGCTGTTGCATGGGGTAAACAGTGTATTTGGCCCTTTAGAATCCTTTTGCATGTCTCAGGCAAGAAATCTGTGTTTTTTTTTCATTGATGGCCATTTTAAACTCGATAAACAGATCAGTTCTGTGGTCCAGAGTGTATTTGTGTGTTCTTAGTAAAGTCAAGCCCTATTTATCAGTGAAATACGTTGAAAGGGTTATACACTTGCTAATCATGTCGAGACTCGACTACTGCAACTCTCTTTATCATGGATTGGAGCAGTCGTCAGTTCACCGCTTGCAGGTGGCTCAGAATGCAGCAGCCCGCTTGCTGACAGGTAGGAGTCACAAGGATCACATAACTCCGGTTTTAAAAGCTCTTCACTGGCTCCTGATCAATTACAGGATTCAATTTAAAATGCTACTGCTCTGTTTTAAGGCACTACACAATTTGGTCCCTCCTTATCTGTCGGAACTCTTAAACACTCATGTCCCCAAAAGAAACTTGCGATCATCCTCTCTACATCTTTTTTCTGTTCCCCAGTCTAGGCTGAAGTCCAGAGGCGACAGAGCTTTTTCTGTGGCCGCTCCCAAGCTCTGGAACAGCCTTACCCTACAGATTAGGTCTGCCAACGCCTCTCTACCTTTAAGTCTCTTTTTAAAACCTACCTTTTTACCCTTGCTTTTAACTGATTTCATCGTTAATTTCTTTTACCTAGGGTCTACTGGATATTTCTGTGTTTTATCATTTTATTTTTACTGCTTGTCTGTGTACAGCACTTTGTGCAATCTCTGATTGTTGGAAATGTGCTATATAAATAAACGTGACATTGACATTGACTATACAGTTTTTGAGCGGCGGGCCATTGCCGGATTGCGTACTTCTTTACGGCAGTATCTCGTAGACGACCGGTTTAGAGACGTCAGCTATGGCAGATGCCCCAAAGTGAGCTAGAAACCCATTATCAGATGAATCTAGGAAAAGAAAGAGAGAACGCGATAGAGAAAGAGGAAAGAACAGAATTAATATTGTGCCGGCTTTTCCTAGCTGGAGAGATCTGCTAGAAAGAACGGCATGTACTACAGACACTGGCCTAGCCATGATGCTAATGAATAGGTAAGTAAGAAATGATTTCACCGGGGTTATTGTGTTTGATTGGGCATTAAGTTGTTGTATGGTACTGATAAAATTATTTATTAAATGTGTGTAGGTGGAAACATTTTTTCAGTATTTTTTTCTGATCCACACAACTGACTCAATCTCAATGTTAGCCACAGAGGCTAATGTGATGCTAACATGTAAGAGTCGGGTTTGTCGTATCAAGCTGCAAACCCCAGCGTTTAGCAGTAAATAAGTCAAACATCTCATCTCTATTGATGTGCCCCGAGTCAGCTTTTAGGCTTAAACGTGTTATTAGTTCTGGTTGTTTTCTGATTATAATTAGTAAACGTTATGATGGACCAGGTGTCATCCATGTTGGTCCTCGACAGCTACTGTCCTGCATGTTTTAGAGACATCTCCATTCCAACACAGCTGAATACAAGGAACGAGTAGTTACAAGAACTTTGCTAACATTGATCACAGCTGAAAAATCCTTTCAGTCATTTGATTTGACTGTTTTGAAGCCGAGATGTTTTGAAAACCAGAAGGATAGTAGCTCTCGAGGCCCAGTGTTGTTGAGACCTGGTGGTGACACAATTAGTCTTTGACAATGGATTAAATTGACTCTTATTTTCTCAGGTATGAAACAGAGCAAGTTACTTCTGCGCCAAATAAGAGACAAAACGAAATAGAAGCACCACCACCTGTATCAACTGTTCCAGAGGGGTCTGGGTATGTTTAGTATTTTTCTCTCTCCATTTAGATGATATGTAAATAATGTTGTGATTTATCAATATCATGTTGTTGGACCATTATAAATTTTTCTGATGTTGTACATTTTCTTTCTTTTTAAATCATGTATTTCAATAATACATTTTTAAAGAGCAAGTAACGTCTAAATTAACTTTTTTTTGCTGGTGAACTGTATAAATGAGTGTCTAATAGTGTTTTAAATGTGTGTATTCATTATTTTAGCATTTTGGTGTATTTTCTTTAAAAATTCTGCCTAAATACCACAGTATAGCGCCACCTTCAGCTTAAAACATAGAGTTTGAGTCATTTTGAATAAATTTTAGCCAATGGCTAAAGAGTAAAGTACTACGTAAACCAGTAAAGTACTACGTAGCAGCTCTGTGTCAAAGTTATAAAGCATCGAGAGTCTCGGCCACCCCTTGTGGCGAGTTGGGAGTTGGATTTACAAGCGAGTGTAGGACGGTTAGCGGTAGTTCAGCATTAGCATATAGCATTAGCATATCCTAATTTTAGCATAGCTTTTAGTGTTATACAAACTTATTTAGTGTTAGCTTGGCTGTTGGATATTGTAGTTTAGTTAGTGTTTAGCTGTTAGTGTTATTAGGATAGTAGTTCAGGTTTAGTGCTCCATATCGTGTTAGTATGGTGAGAAGGTGTAGTGTAGTGTGGTTGCGGTTGCTTTGTGGGGTTGCACTCCTTTCCGTTGGACTTAGAAATTAGGCACCAGTGATTGCGCGCAATCGATGTCTGGAAAATTGTCAGCTCTCGCCTGGTGCTGTAGTTTGCAACCAACATTTTACCCGCGATTCCTTCACCAACATGATGGAGTTTGAACTGGGTTATTCTGCACGTGTCCGTTTGAAGAGGGAGGCCGTGCTCACCTTGGCTCTTCCGCGATTTAGATGCAGCCCACCCACTCTGCTTCCCTGCCATGGCGGGCTCCAGTCTGAGGTGAGTAAGCTAAATAAAAGTTTTAACATTTTCTAAAGACAATGCCCTACCTAAATGCAAAGTTTGAGAAACGTGGTTAACTTCATTTAGTTAATATCAGTCTGCACTGCCTTCGGGCTAATTTGTCAAGTTCACAAAATGTGGAACGGGATGTAAGGTTAGAATCAGCAGCGAATCGGAACATATCTCGAAGCCCTGGCTGACTAAACGGTCCACATGACTCTTACTGTCAGGCTCGGAGAAAATTCGGGTTGTTTTTGTGTCAGTCGGTAATTCTGCAACAGTGGCTCTAACTAACGCAGCACTAGTTGACAGACAGCATTACAGCGTGAACTCCAGCACAGCGTGACCCGGTTCTGTGAGGAATTCTGTTCAGGAGGTCGCATTTCAGGCTCTCCACATCATATGTGACTGACTTTTACGTTATAATAACGAACACACCAGGAATGTTATAAAGCGCCTATATAGGACAGTTTCTTTTGTATATTATCTGACTTTATAAACTCCAACAAGAATGTGCTTCTATTTTTTTTTCAGGCTAAATCTACCCAAGACACTGGCTGTCAGACTGATTTTGTAGTCTGCAAGAATGCACTTGTCCAGGCTGACATGAAGCCTTACCGGCGTAGCAAAGGTGAATTATTTTTAATAATCTTCTATGTAAACATTTTATTATCACCTTCTAGTTTTAATTTGTTTTACAGATTATTGTTGCACGTGATTTTATGCTCTTTTAAACATTTATAAATGTGCTGCTTCTTTGTTTTTTACATAGCCACCCAGAATAGAGCTCACAGCCGCAGTGTGTCTGGTGACACAGGGACCATGACCGAAATTCATCTTCCAGAAGGTCCCAGAGCAGCGTCCACACCCCTGAAAAGACCAAGATGTGAGGTGTCTGCTGTTGATTCCAGCTTCCACCTCAGTGACAGTGCAAGCTCAGTGAACTGTTAACAATTACATAAACGTATGTGATTGCATCATGACATCATGAAGGAGGCTACTGATTCTGGCCCTGTGACACTTGGTGGTGCGAGCTGATTCACCTGGTAAATAACTTTTACATTAAATATTTTGTTCTTTGCTATCAAAAGTAAATTAACTAATAACCTGCATTATTGCAGGACACTCAGCAAAATATGGACTACACCATGAGGCAGGCACACGTTAATAACTCTATAAGAGCACATAAGGTGAGCAACACCACAGATTATTTTTATTATTGTACACTGTCCTGGATTTGTTTTCTTTCTGCATCTCATCATTAGCCTGGCTGATCACCTGATAACTCCTGTCATCTGGTTATGACAGCATGAGGATGTCCTCACACACCTGTAACCTACCAGCTCATCTGGTAGAATAGAGAGAGAAGAGACAACACCACATCTCCTGTTCCTGGAAAGTCTTCAGCCATCCTTCGATGACTGAGAACCTCCATCAGCTCTGTCTCCTGTCTGCCTACAATTATTATAATAAATATTGTGTTTGACAAGTTTTTTGTGCTGCCAAATATCTCATTTTGATTCCAGTTTTTATATTTTAATGGATATTTATAAATTACATTAATTGAATTATCACATTGTTGCATGTTTAACTAGCTCTATTGTGATGAATTAAACTAGCACCTCACTGTTAAAAGCTTGTTTTAATTTCAAGCATGTTTAAGTATTTATGGACATGAACAAAAACAGGAAATATATAAATTGAGATTTATTTAATTAATATAACAAATAAGGGGGAAAGAGTCATTGAAAGGCACATTCTTCTGGAAGCTCCTGATCCTGACGACACCAGCAGACGAGACCAGCTGCAGACACCAGAGGATCCCCTACGACCAAGAGAGCAGCTGCTATCAGAAAATAAATGATGAAATCAGGGCAGTTTTAGTGGGCTAAACACATTACAGAATAATTTCCCCATGGGGTATTTTCATAACTTTCTGCAGCAGACTGTAACTTAAGCCCAGGGCTCCTGGAGAGCTGCTATCCAGCACGTTTCAGTGGATTTTCCTGCTTTAACAGGTTAGATTAGCTGTTAAGCAGCTCAGCTATTTGTTGCTGATTAAAACCAGGTGTGTTGAAGCAGATAAATCTCTAAAACATGCTGAATACTGGCTCTCTAGGGCTGTGGAGCCAAACCCTGCAGCTAATCTAATGCTATGGCTAACGGCTACTTACCATTCAGAGCTGGTTCTGTTGGGTGGGTTTCGTGAGTTTCAGGCAACTCACAAGCTCAAAACAATAAGGCTCAGGTCCACTTGTCTCCTCCAAATAGACTTGGTCCCTTTCTTTTAGAGTGTCTGGGTAAGGAGGGGGAGAAACGTCCTCCACTTCTAATAACTGCTCAGAGTGAAGGGAGCTAGCATCGTCTTGTTACCCATCGTCTTCGTCACAGCCGCGGCTCCGCCCTCTCGGTCGGCCAGGCAACGCCTACTAATGTTGCAGTTTTTTAAAATTGATACGCGGATGGAGAAGGACTCTGAGACACACTTGACCTGCTCTTTAACTAATACATTTTATTATTTAGAGTGGAGGAGATGAACACTGAAGGTGTTCAACAGGTGTGCTCTGAAAAAGAAATAGATGTGTTAGAATCCAGGTCGGTGTTACTTTCATTAAAGACAAGATTTCTATGTATTTTTTTCTGTTATGAAAGTATCTATTTTTTACTCATTTACGAGTTTCAGGATGCACTCTATGAGTATGGCTCCAGAATAGCTGCAAGACTGTTTGAATGAAGAGGATCTGAATGATCTGAGGAACAGCATGTAAGTTTTTAAACTCCTTTTATTTATTTTTTTTTGGACATAATATCGGTATTGTTTTTCTTTCTAACAGTTTTATTTTTTCAACAATGGTGTCACAAAATGTCAGTAATCAGAACATTATATCGCTGAGCAAGCATGGTAACGGAAGAGAGAGACTGTAAAAAAGAGGACAAACACATACAACATGCTTTAAAGACCTGCGGATACCCGACATGGGCAATAAACAAAGGAAAACAACAAACAACAACAGAAAGAAAAGAACAACCTAAGCAAAGAACCAGAAACCCAGAAACATAAGAACCAAAACCAGTGATAACTTTACCATACATCAAAGGCATAACAGAAAAAATACAAGCAACAATGAGAAAACACAAGATAAACACACCAACAAAACCATACACAACAGTTAGAAACAGACTAGTACACCCAAAAGACAAGATACCAGCTGGACTTAATTGTGGAGTCATTTACGAAATCCCATGCAAACTCTGCAATAAAACATACATAGGAGAAACCGGACGCCAACTCAACACACGAGCAATAGAACATAGAAAGGAGTGTGAGAAAGAAACAAGTCAAACACACAAGAGCAGCAAAAGAAGAAGCAGAAAATACAATAAAGAAGTCAGCCGTAACAGATCACTGCACAAGAGAAAACCTTATAATGGACTGGGACAACACAAGGATCATAAACGCTGAACAACAAAAATACAAAAGATGGATAAAGGCAGCTATAGAGATAAGGAGACGTGGATATGGGACCATGAACAGGGGCGATGGAGTTTACACGTTGGACCGCACATGGGACTGCATCGTCGGAGAGGGGAGATCGGGCAGCAGAGGGCGACAATGTCCTCTGCTGCCCGCGGATAAACGAAGGAAGTGATGCCACCATCGGCGTCAGCCTGATGATGTTTGCAGCCACAAATGAAACGTTGCAGGTAAACAAACCTTTTCTGTGTTTTAAAAAGAACTGAAAGATGGAATAGACACCACATCCTTTGAACCATTTGAAAGGAAATTCACCAAAGACTGAGGAAATACAGGAGAGCCACTTGGTGCCAGCGTGATTAGTTCAGTCTTAGACTCATTATTCTGCAAGGGGGGGGGGGGGGGGGGGGGGGGGGGTCTTGTAGTCTAGCTTGGTCAAAAATTTCCCAGAATACACTGTGGTATTTTCAAAAGGATGACGGATCAGAAGCTGGTAGCTATTTCGTGGGCAAATTTCAAGTTTAAAAGTAAGTCAGCTAATTTCAAATGTTTATTTTTTTTAGATCCAAAGAAGTTATTTGGTGAGTTGCTTAGTAGTTGCAGCTTTGGTGGTTAGGATGTAGTAACTTGCTTACATATTTAATTTAACAAATATATATTTGACGGAGTGCAAGGCTTAGACACTCACAACCAGAGCCTCTGGCGGGTCTGGTCACAATAAGGAACCAAGGCAGAGGTGGAGAAAAATGGGGCCTTTGTTAATTCAGTCTTCTTAAAAGTGGTTTGTACCAAACATAGATAAAAAACCTACTGTCAATAAACTCAATTGAGCAGCAGTGGCAAACTAACAATCAGAGAATAAGGCTCACAGAGAGACTCTAGTAACCACGTTCCACCTACATGTGGCTGAAGCAAATCCCTCAAACCAGCCAAAAACTCACACAGCATCATGACAACCACCTCTCAAACCAACTTCCTGGTCTGAGCACCTTTTTATAATTAGCTCATTAAGGAGTAGCTGAGATTGAGCTGTGACACATTCAAGGGCAATTCCTACTGCTAGAAATTCTAAAACACCCCCTTACTCTTATATCACCAGGATGACCTCGGTCACCTGGTTACATCTACATGGGCACAGCTGCTGGACCAAGGCACTCTCAAAACTTTGTCCTTGGTTTGAGTGGATTCGTGCAGGGACTCCGAACTGGTAGAACCACTGTTTGACCAGCGTCTTTGCCACTGTATCCACCTTCTGGTCACAGGTGGACACAGCCTGTGTAAACTTGGAGAATACATCCGTCATAATCAGCACGGTCTCTCGTCCATCCGGGGCTGGTTCCAGCAGTGTAAAATCAATGGCAAGCAGCTGGTTCGGCCTGGAGATGAGCAGGTGGCCAAGAGGAGCACGCATCCTGGGGTGGGTATCCTTGGCAATCTCACATCTCTCACAATTCTGGCACCAGTCCTTAATATCCCTGTCCATTCCAGGTCAATAGCAACGCTGTCGCACCCCCTCTGTAGTCCGCTGAGTTCCCTGATGGCCATGATTCTGGTGCATTTCCTGCAATACCTCTGCCTGCAGGCACTCCAGCAACAACAACTGGAAGATCTCCTCCCCTCCATCAAGCCGCAGCAGCCGGCGATACAGCAGCCCTTCCTGCTGCACAAGGCGGTCCCACAACTTCACCAACTCCCTTTCCCTGGGGCACAACTTCTCCTTTCCAACACGACTCGGCACGACACGACCCAGAAGGGCCAGATGGACAGGATGGACAGGATGGACTGGTCCGACCCTTGTAGCCTCCTCAAGTCTTCTAGACTTCGGGACGGAAAACAGTGATGGCAGACTGGGTGACTACTGTCTACAATGGATGCAGACACCTGAGTCCCCGGCAGGTAGTGTTCCAGTGCAGTCCCACCACCGTTGGAAAATCTGTGTTGCCTGGAAAGGTCGTCCGCGTTGTGGTTGGTCCTCCCTGGCCAATACTTCACACTGAAGTCAAATGCAGAAAGCTCTGCCACTCAATGCTGCTCTGTTGCTCCAAGTTTTGCATTTTCTAGATGGCACAGTGGGTTGTCTGTCCAGACAACATAATGGTGGCCCCACAGGTAGTCCTTGAATTTGTCAACCATAGCCCACTTCTAACACAAGACATGCAGAATCAACACAACACAGAGGGTAAGTAAACTAAAGGTATTATTTATTAGAAAAATGGAAACTAAGGGTGCACTGGGAAGTCCAGTGAATGGGAAACCGAACAAGAGCAACATCTAGGGAAGAGCAGAGACAGGTGAGTCCCAGGAGGAGGTACAGCAGGGAAGGATGGGTTTGTTTGGGGACTTACGGAGGACTGAGATCTTGGCAGAGGTGGAAAGTTACAAATTACATTTACTTATTGTAGATCCAACACACCTCACTTCCAGTCGCCATTGCCGTACCGGAAGTGCTTGTTTGACCCCAAAAGTCACGTCATCTAAAGTTACGCGCATGGCGTAAGTTCTGTTTGTCACGAACAGGTCATGAGACGAGTCAGCGCCAGTAGCGATAGCTAAAATTGAGGTAAGTTATGGGTTGTTTTATTTTCTGCTTATAATTTTCAAATTTTTCTAATTTGTAAGTCATATATTTTCAAAGAGGTGACATGAGTGGCTGTTTCTCCGCTGTTTTTCTCTCTGAATGGTTCCAATAGTCAGGGCTACCATTAGTTTAGCTGCTAAGCTAATAAAATAGCTTTTTAGGCTTAACGTTTTTGGTTTCATCTGACCACATGACATTCTCCCAACCCTCTGCTGTATCATCCATGTGCTCTCTGGCAAACTGCAGACGGGCCTGGACATGCACTGGCTTCAGCAGCAGAACACGTCTGGCACTGCAGGATTTGGATTCCCTGCCGTTGTAGTGTGTTACTGATGGTGACCTTTGTTACTGTGGTCCCAGCTCTCTGCAGGTCATTCACCAGGTCCCCCCGTGTGGTTCTGGGATTCTTGCTCATCATTCTCATGATCATTTTGACCCCA